CCACCGGAGGCACGTACGCCAGGCCCCGCCCCTACGTAAACCCCCCTCAGAACGCGGCCCCGCCCACTGGAGTTACGTACGCCAGGCGCTGCCCCTACGCTACCCCGCTCTGAACGTGGCCACGCCCACACGACTGAGGCCCCGCCCCTGACAAATCTCCGCTTGCAGGTCTGCGGGGCACAGCGCCTGGGCAGGCCCCGCCCACTGGAGGCACGTACGCCAGGCCCTGCCCCTACGCAAACCCCGCTCGGAAGGTGGCCACGCCCACACCACTGAGGCCTCGCCCCTGACGAATCTCCGCTGGCAGGTCCCGCCCACCAGAGGCACGTACACAACGCCCTGCCCACACCCCCCTTCCCTCCGCAACCCTTAAGCCCGAACGTGCCGAAGCCCCGCCCTTACAGACCCCGCCCACCGCAGACAGGCCAGAAAGCCCCGCCCACGTCCGCCGTGACCACGCCCCCTGTTCTGAACCAAATACCTTCCTGGCCCCGCCCCTAAGGAAGCTCCTCCCCCATCTCTGACCCCGCCCCCGCGGGGCCGCTTGGACGCGAGCTGGGCTCGGGCGGGGCAAGGTCCCTCGACCCCGAACCTCCACATCGCGGGGTCCCTGTGGGCCATGAGTTGGGGCGAAGGGAAGGGGGGGTCCTTGTGACTCGGGAGAGGTTCCCTGCGGACCCGATGGGGACACAGAAATGGGGGGATCCCTAAGGGCGCGGTGGGGGCGCGGAAATGGGGTTCCCGGTGGGCACGGTGGGGGCGTGGAGATGGGGTTCCCCATGGGCCCAGAAGTGGGGCCCCATGGGGGCGCGGTGGTGAGCGGGGCCAAGGAAGGAAGGATTTCTATAGGTGGATGGATGGATGGACAGATGATGGGTGACATGGGGCCTGATCATTCCTGGGGGTGAGCAGGAGAAAATTTCATCAAATACATCTCCTTAATCACCTCATCATGCATCTCAGGGTGGTATCCTTTAAATGCATAAATTTTGGGGTGACTGGCTTGGGTAAGGGGGTACAGGCTCTGGCCACAGAAAAGTATGTGTCTGCAGACATTGCCGCCTGTAGCTGGGACAGAGCCACAGCCTCCTTTAGAGATATTGATAGATGATCGATGATCGATGATCGATAGATAGATATAGATAGTGTCGACCTATGAACCAGGAGGTCGGGGTTCGATTCCCGGTCAAGGGCACATGCCCGGGTTGCGGGCTCCATCCTCAGTGGGGGGCGTGCAGGAGGCGGCCGATCCGTGATTCTCTCTCATCATCGATCTCTCTCTCTCTCTCTCTCCATCTCCCTTCCTCTCTCTGAATTCAACAAAAATATATACAACAAAAATAAATTTAAGAAATATTTTAAAAAATATTTTTAGCCTGGCCGGTGTGGCTCAGTGGTTAGTGAGCCAGGAGGTCAGGGTTCGATTTCTCTGAAATCAATAAAAAATATATATATTTAAAATAATAATAATAATAACGGTGACGAAATGCCGGCCTGTGCCTGCTGGCGTGTCTGTGTAAGCCAAGGACGGGGGACCCTCGTGTCGCATTTTGGGGGGGAACGTGATTAGCCGATCCCTCCCCTTCTGGATCTTGGCTGCCGGCCCAGCCCCTGTGGCCCCGATGCCTGTGTGGTGGTTGGTTTGAGGTTATTCACACCTTTTTTTTTCTTCTTCTTTCTTTCGTCTCATTTTTCTCACCCGACGTGTGAGTCCCACGCCCAGAATGGGGGTTTGGGTGTCTGGGTCTTGCTGGCTCATGGTTTCCGAGGCCAAATTGGGGGGGAGGGGGGTGCAGAAAGGGAGAGGTTGGTTGGCTCAATTGAGGTTACCTTCTAGGGTTCAGTTTTGGGGCGCTCCGGGGAGCAAAGGAAGTCGCACCTCCGTGGGGAGTTTGGCTCCCAGGCTTTCTCCCCTCAACCTCCGTTCATTAAACCAAAGCCCTGTTCTGGGCTGAGGCCTCAGGCTGTCACTCAGAAGTTGCCCTGGGGATGCCTGGCTGGGGTGGCTCAGTGGTTGGGCCGGGGCTGCGGGCTCCATCCCCCAGTAAGGGGGCCCCGCGGGAGGCAGCCGATCCGTGATTCTCTCTTTTCAATGTTTCACTCGAACCCTGACCTCCTGGGTCCCAGGCCGGCACTAACCACTGAGCTACACCGGCTGGGCTAAGCACATTTTTAAAAAAATATTTCTTCAATTTATTTTTGTTTTATGTATTTTTTGCTGAATTCAGAGAGAGGAAGGGAGAGGAAGAGAGAGAGAGAGAGAGAGAGAAACATCCGTGATGAGAGAGAATCATGGACCGGCCGCCTCCTGCACGCCCCCGACTAGGGATCGAGCCGAGCTCCTTCAAACCGCCCAAGATCCTCCACCTTCTAAAAGGAATCCAGGCTCTCCTTCTGAGTGCCCATCCCGCCCTCGAAGAACCTCGGGGTCCCTTTTCTAACCAGGTGAGATTTCTCCATTGATTTTTTTTTTTGAGAGAGAGAGAGAGAGAGAGAGAAACATTGATGGGTTGCCTCACTGGGGATGTGCCCGCAACCCAGGTCCATGCCCTTGACCGGGAATCGAACCCGGGACCCTTCAGTCCACAGGCCGACGCTCTATCCACTGAGCCACACTGGTCAGGGCTATAGAGAGATTTTTTTTGATTTCAGAGAGGAAGGGAAAGGAAGACCGAGATAGAAACATCGCGATGAGAGAGAATCACAATGATTTATTCATTGATTTCTTAACAGCAATGTTTTATTTAAAATAATATGCCCTCAGCCGTGGCTGGTGTGGCTCAGCGGATAGAGCGCCGGCCTGCAGACTGAAGGGTCCCGGGTTCGATTCCGTTCAAGGGCATGGACCTAGGTTGCGGGCACATCCCCAGTGGGAGGCGTGCAGGAGGCAGCGATCGATGTTTCTCTCTCATCGATGTTTCGAACTCTCTATCCCTCGCCCTTCCTCTCTGTGAAAAACCAATAAAATACATTTTTAAAAAATAAAATAAAATAATATGCCTTCAATGTCATTAAAACTTACTATTAAGTGTATGCACAGACCCACTATTTTTCTAATATTTTTAATCTGGAAACCGCTGCCTTCCTTAAACTAAGGACAATGAAAGGTTCATGATTTATATTTCCCCACCCTAAACAAAAGTTAAATGGCTTATGTCAAAGTACTTGAAGGTACCATAGCCGTAATCCAATTAATGTGAGTTCCTGTTAACAAAGTTAAATCATGAGCTTTATTTCAAATTAAATTGGCTAATCGAAATAAATGAATGTCCAAGAACACTTCAAATGCACTGTACACGAAACTGTTCCTGAAATATTAAGAATTTTTATTGATGGTTCATCTAATCATAACAATTATTTAGCATTTAATAACTCCAAAGCATTCGTATCTCCGACACAAGAAAATGAGTTTAAATTTTCCTCTCCTCATCATGTTCTAGAACAGTGATGGCGAACCCTTTTGAGCTCGGCGTGTCAGCATTTTGAAACACCCTAACTTAACTCTGGGGCCGTGTCACATATAGAAATTTTTTTGATATTTGCAACCATAGTAAAACAAAGACATATTTTTGATATTTATTTTATATATTTAAATGCCATTTAACAAAGAAAAATCAACCAAAAAAAATGAGTTCGTGTGTCACCTCTGACACGCGTGTCATAGGTTCACCATCACTATCCTAGTGGGTGGGGCG